TGCAGGGGTGGTCCAGGTAGCAGACTTCTAGTGCCCCCTGGCTGGAGAGCTTGCTTCTGTAGTTTTCCAGGCTGGAATTCATGTAAGCTTTTTTTTTCCCCCCTAGCAGTAAAAATTTCTGAGAAATTCTTGCTTGTAGAATTGGGTGCTTGTCCATGGCCTCTTTTGTAGGCCACAAGTGTATTTCAATCCCAATAAGTAACTATTAAAGCCTATACACTATACTACAACGAGTTCTCTGCATCAGAGGTTCTCAAACAGTAGTCCGCAGACCACCACGGGTCCATGAGCTCCATTCAGGTGGGCCGCAGAAAGGTTGCAGAACAATCGAGACTATCTGTACTTGACCCTGCATTTGACTGATTTTTTTTTTTCTGACGGTGGAAATCGGTACAAAAAAAGTTTAAGTGGTCCGCTGAGACCCTCAGCAATTTTCAAGTGTTCCACAAGGAAAAAAAAGTTTGAGAACCACTACTCTACGTGTTACAGAAAAGCTATTAGAAATGTAAAGGGAGTTTTAAAGAATGCCTACAGCCTTCTAAATTTTCTTATATTTCCACCAATTCCACATTCTTCCTTAACCCAACCATACACATCTTGGAGAAGGAAGCTTTATATACAAATACAAGACTTTAAAATTTTGACTTTTCCACAGTATTTCTTACCTAGTAGTGTCACAGGAGATTGGCCTTTAAAACTTTTGTTGGTCAAGGATTTAGGAGTCCATCCTGGGACTGAGTTTAGTGTGATCTTGGGGAAGAAATTATTGGGTTGTCTACCTTCTCAAAAGGAGATGGGTTAATGGATGGACGTGAGTGAACTTATTAAAAGATATTTAGATTTTAAAATATTAAAAGCCAATGAAGTAATTAATATTTTATAGTATCCTGTGTTACGTTAGGTGCTGCACAGAAGATCCAGGCTGTGCCCCAAAGATGTGCAGTCTAGTTTTCAGATATGACAAGATGAAAAAGATTGCTTAAGCTACTGATTAGTACTTTCTCAGTGAGAGAGATCCTGTGCAAAAGGTTGTTTCTTTGTTGTTTTGTCACAGCCTATATGACTTCCAGAGCACACACTCTTTATGGCTAAATTTTGCTTTTAGAGTTTATTCATCCTGTTAGGGTGTGATCTACAGACTTCTTTAGAGAATTGAGAAGCACACTTGAGAAAGCTGAGCCTGTGTACTGCTCAGAGTCTGAGTTATGAAAACAG